CTATAATTAAGGGAGAGAATATTATGCTTCATTTCAAATCTAAAGGATTAGGTTGTGGAATGTTAATAAATTTAGTCAAAGGTACATAGTGTGTTCTTAAAATTTCGATTGTGATTACGGCATTCCTCTTCGCAATTCGAGTTTTGAGAACATAGCAAATAAAACATTATGCGTCGTGTCCCATACGCTTCGGGTATAGGATCGATTGCGAATGCTTTAATGTTTGACCATTCTAAAATTTTCCAAATGTATAGTGCATTTAGAGGGAAAAGGGACTAGAATTGGTTTTGACTAAAATAATTAAACAACTATCAAAGGACAATCCAAAGTTCGACGAGGATTGGTCGCTTGCGAGTAGTTGGAAGTATAGTATTGGAAATTATGGAAGTGTTTCCATATTGGATGGACATATCGACATCAATTACGAATAGATAAGATTCTATTAAGAATGAGTTGTCATATGGAAAATATGGAAGTGTGTCCATGTTGGGAAGTAAATATTGAAAATCTATGTCTAGATTAGAAACTTTTATGCAAAAGGATGTTCAAAGGAATGTACTTTGAGAGAGAGACATCATATCTAAGGAATTGTCTTGTAACAATCTCCGATAGAGGACTTTGTAATATCATTGGCAATAGTCTTTGAGACTTTGGTGCAGTGACATTACAAAGGATCGTTGCATAAAGTGTTAGAATCTAGTATATTCTATAAGTAACAAGAATTTGACATTCTTACACTTAAGAAAATGGATTTGGTGTTGTAAAATGAGAATGATTGGAAATGTGTTCAATTTGTCTATTTCGCAAAAGTAAGAACCATAGGTAAACATTGTGTGCATGCTAGGAGCATGGGACAAGTGTTGGAATTCAAATGCGAAGTTGATTACCCGAAACGACAAATAATGAGTAATCGATATGGTGATAAATAAAACGTGTTTTGTTTATACTCAAAGGTTTGAGGCCATATGGGATTAGTATTATTCTTGTGTTTCACCTTGCATGTTTTGACTTCCAGAATAATTGAGTTTATTAAGAATAATCGAATTATTCAAACGGGCCACAGTCGTTCATATGTTGGAAGTAGATATGAATGAAGACTGTCGTGAATTGGTGTGTGGATTGTCTAGAAGAGTATTAGACATAAGCAAATGTTTGCTGCAACGTTCATGAGTGCTTATGAATATGATTTGAGCATTGGATTAAACCCACGCTCACTTGGATCACTCCATGAATTGTATTACGAGTGATTGGTGAGACGATAACATCTTATATTCTTGAAACCGAGATGTGTGAGTTGTATCTTGCGAATCGGTTGCACATTGATAATATGTAAACGCACCAGTAACTTGGTGTTATAAAACATATTGTTGTGTGTAATTCGGTGAGTGAGTGCAAGCAAGCATTGTATCAAAGTTTATCCGTTCCTTTTATCCAAAGTAGGATAAAAGCGATATCTTTGGGCCCCTCGATGGTTTAGTGATGACATACGTAAATGCTCGGCCGGGCTAGGGCTAATTTGATTTGTTCAATTAGTCTGTTGTCATAAATCGGAAATCGAGATATAATACAAAGAGAATGATCGAGATATAGTACAAAGAGAATGATTTGAAATCATATCTCAGACGATATCAGAATGGAGGAATATATGATCCCTTATCTAAGGACACGCGTATCTGATATGATCAGAGTTGACAGCGGCTTTGGAAAGCTACGATTGCAGATCAGGATCTGAAGTCATACGCAGAATAGTTGTTAGACTTATCCAAGTGGGAGACTGTTGGATTAGTGTCTAAGTCCATAACTATTTTGGTATGTACTTGACCCGATGGTGCATGGTCCTTTTGGGTTGCCTTCACCAAAGCAACTTGATTGGAGAAATGAATAAAGAGAGAGAGGATAATATGATTTATTAATATGTTATAAGAATAATATATTAAAGGAGAAATCATATTTGTTTAATTAATATTGGTCAATAATTAATTAAGAATTAGTTTTGTGATCAAATGTAATTAATTAAACTAGAGGGGCTGAATTGTAATTATGTGATAGTTACAAAATAAGGTAAGGATTATCTTATATATATGGTGAACGAATTTGAGGTGTAAATCCCTTAGAATTCGAGTATGATAAGGATTCAAGGATTATCTTATTGGTTGCTTAATGGATAATCAACTAGATAAGGATAATGACTGAAACCCTATCTCTACACCTATATAAACACCCCTAGGGTCATGAATTCGTGTATTCCTTCCCAAGAGGTCCTAGATACGAATTCTAACCTCTCACTTTTCTCTTTATACCTTCTCCACTTGCTTATGGTGTTTGTGAGCCATTAGAGGAGTGACACTTGTGACTCTAAGCCTTCCAAAGTCAATACAAGGAGATTTGGGATTGTTATTACTACATAACAATCAAGGTATGTTCTTAAACCTAATTACATGTTAATATGATTACTTGCATGCTAGAATTAGGGTTTATAGTCTTGGATTCAAAGCATGTACAATAGAGAAACCTAGATCCAAGCATTAGGGTTTGTATGAGCACATAGGATGTCTTATGACCAAAACCCATCACGTTCTAGAGATACACCCAGATGACGCCGAATGTTGTGATATATTGGAGAGGATTGAGTCGGAACTATTGGGGAGATCCGTGCGGGTATCTTCTCTTGTTATCACAGTGAAAAAGAGAGAAATGATTGTTATTTGACATCCGGAAGGAGTTCCCGGGACGAAGCTCTGACGATCAAGTTAGTATGAGATCTGAGAGAGATTATAGTAGATTAAAGGAAAGAGATAATTCTGTCCCTTCTTCGTGAGGAAGATGGGTCCTTTTATAGTAGATTACAACATGTACCACAACTGATTCTGTTGAGCATCCCCTTGTGAGGAGTGATGTGGCAGACCCATATTGGAGGGTCCTCCGTCACATCTTCTGCCTCATTCCCTCATTGGCTAGAAGGAGATCTTTTATTTGTTATGAAGATCATGACTATCATCTAATGGGTGAGTGAGACTCTCTGATTGGTCCCATGTTTACCGGGATATAATTTCCTAGAGAAGGAGTTAAGGTGCGACTTTGCACCTTAACCGCCATATCAGTGATCTTCGCCTTGGCGAAAGCCCGAACTTGTTTTTAGACTAGGTTCTGACCAGGCCAAGTCGGGTGTTAGTTTGACTTCTTCTTTTTTGACGTTCTCCCTGAGGGATACATTAACAAGCCACATAAGCTATATACTCACATAAACCACATCAACCACATAAGCTATGCATACAAACATATAAGGATGCCCTAGAAACCCTCCAAGGTCTTACTCTAGGTGCCATGGGAACCCCCACATGGTCTTAGCCTACTGCCATGGGAACCCCACATGGTCTTAACTAATCAGAAGAAATACCATACAAGCCATATAAACTATACATACAAACATATAAGGATGTCTAGGAAACCCTCCAAGGTTTTACTCCGGGTGCCATGGGATCCCCCACATGGTCTTAGCCCACTACCATGAGAACACCCACATGGTCTTAACTAAGGATGTGATGGAAACCCTCCAAGATCTTACACCGGGTTCTATGGAAACCCCACATGGTCTTCACTACGGATGCCATGGAAACCCTCCAAGGTCTTACACCGGGTGCTATTGGAACCCCCACATGGTCTTAGCCTGGAATGTTATAGGAACCCCCCACATGGTCTTATATCCAATTGCCTTGGGAACCCCCAAGGTATTCCATGCAAGTATCACATAGACGACTAGCATACCACATACCACATAATGGGCCGAACTTGGTGCCTTCGACCCATTGGGATGGTGAGGAGACCCACCTCACACTGTTGAAGTCCTGTAGATAAAACTCTAGCTGCTGGATGGTAGATTCCTGAACCGTCAACATCAAAACAACACCCAATTAACCATTTGGGTTTCAATGCATAACCATAACTCCATATTTAGGGTAAAGAGACTATTTTACCCCTAACCTAGATTGGTCTAAAACCAAGACCCAAACTCACACTCTGAAGGCCCAAAAGCCAAATAATCAACCAAGGCCCAACTATGGCCTAATTTTCCAAATTGGGCCCAAACCCTTACATGGGCCTTACCCTAAAGCCCATCCAAAAACCCTAGTACATATACTTGTTCTTAGATGTCACATAAAGAATCTAAACATCTAAGCCCAACTCAAAACTCAACACAATTAGGGTTTTCATATAAAATGACAATTAGGGTTAAGTAAAACACTTAACACTTTAAGGACTTAAGCCATTAAGCCCATCACTCTATTGGTTCAATCATTCAACATGGTCGGGTGTCACTAGTAATTCCAAAGTAACAGTAAAAAAAATGTGGGTCCCGATAGGTCCAAAGCAAAAGTCTCCAAGATTAGGGTTTTCTAAACCCTAATTAGGGTCTCCAACCCAAACACATGCCAATTAGGTCTAAAGATTAAAATTTAGGCTGATTAGGGTTTCACTAAGTCGGGCACCACCCACTACCACCTTGGGCGGTGGTGGTCGGCGGCGGTTTACAGCGGCAACCACCACCTCGCGGCGGTGGTGGTGGCTTTCGAGTCAAAATCCGGCAACAAGCCACCGATTCATTATTTTATGCAGAAAAACACACACACACGCATTAACTCATGCACACAACCACCCAACATGGCGGTTGGTGGCGGCAGGAAAGTAGAAGTGGCGGCAGCCACCATGGTTGGTTGCCATGGTGGTCGTTCTCAGTTTTTTGGCCAACGAGCACACCCAAAACGTATAGCAA